GGTATCTGCTGCCTGTCTTTGAGTCTTCTTCCATCTGCTGAGGAGCTCGTTAATGAACTGCCCCTTTTTCCCATCTGTACCCTGCAGGAGGTCTCCCACATATTCCTCAATCTCTTCAGCCTTCTCGATTGATAGAATATATCTTGGAAATACAACGGCACAACTTCATTTATTAACGGTTCTATACAAATTCATTGCCTAACATTTTAAAAGACCAGAAATAGCGACGAACTGTCATTTAATTATCAATTACTTTTAAAATATGTGTCTTTCAGTAATTTTAGAAGTATGCTAATATATCAGGAGCTTAGGTATAAAAAAAGCATTTGTACGAATGTATGTGTGGTTGGGTGAACGAAACTTGTAGTAATATATACTGTAGCTATATAAATACCAGTCCATTTACCATATTAGTCCACGAAAAGCTTTTCATATACAATTGGTTAAAGTTGCTTATTTTAGGGTACACGTTTATGCAGTTCTTCATCTCTGTCTTTATGATAAACTATCAGCTTTCAGGCTGTTGATCTGATGGGTGGACTCTAACTTTGCTTGGTTTAGTGTCCATATCATTTGCTTATTACCTGCCAAATGAAAAACGTTATGATTTCTCAACAGAAAACTATGTTCACTGTTTCGCTTACATACACTAAACCATGTAAACCATGTGTGTAGATTTTTAATAGTTAAAACAAATAAAAATACATAAAGACACAAAGTCCCACTCGACACTTGTCATGTAGAAAAAGGTTTAATCTGACTTTTTAGCCAAAACAGCTTGTTCACGGTGAGCCACTAAATAGTCAATACACTGGCATACAGCTGTAGTGTCACAATTAATTAGCTGTATCAAAAACGACAACGACACGTCATATACATACATAAGTACACCATAGCGCAGCTTAGCTTACTAGTTAGCTGATCTGCAGATGCTACAATTAGCCAGACGGCAGACAGTAATAACAGGCAGGTAAAATTTTCTTACTGGACGATTTCTTCACCCGCCTCCAATCCAAACTTGTGATGTAACTGTTCCACACACCACTGCAACAACTGCTCCGACATTTTTACCAGATGACAGGCTCCACACCTTCAAGTTTAAATCAAAGAGACCGGCGTGTCAAGCACAAACTTATAGCATAAACGTGTTTCCAGTCGGCGAAAAAAACAAATGCGCACATAACATTGGCGTTTACCGGGAGTACGTGGCAGAATCCCGTCCTGAAACAACTCATGCTGTGGTGTAAAGGTTCCACCTGACCAAACAGCAAAGTAAAATAAAGAAAGAGGGGGGAAAACACTTGTGTAAAATCATCTGTCTTTAATTGTAACTTTCTTTAATTATACGCGGGTGTTAGTGAAACTAAACACTC